CGAGAGAATTTGAAGTATGAAGTAAACAAAAGTAAAAATAATTGTACAAAAACTTGAATAAATAAGTTGTTATGTGTCGAAGAAAGTCTAAAGTGGCTTTTGTCGTTTGTATACATAAAACCACAAACTTAAGAAATTTGTTCCCTTTATTTTTATTTTAGTTATTTTCATGATTTTGATCAAACAAGAAAACGAAATACCTGTTGAACAAACATGATTTATCTTTCAAATTAATAACTAGAACAGTTTGTTTTTAATTTTTTCGATGGGAAATAGATACTTTTTTCAATTTTTAATTTTAGAATTGTGTTACTATTCATGTTTACCCTGATATTAATTGAGTACGTTGTTTTGATTAGTTCAAAATCATCATGAAGAGTAAATTAAATATGAGGTGAATATTATTGACAGAACATTTAAACCCAAAAAAATGTTTTAAAAAGTTTTACAAGATAACTTCTTGGTCAGCATTGTACGTGTTATTTTTACGCCATTCCCCTATTTCGTTTGACGATGGAGTGTGCATTCAAAATCGATCCCCACTTACCATTTGTAAGCATTTACCGTCTTGTGAGACAACAGTATAAAGCTTTTATGTTTAATGTGTTATTAGACGTATTTTATTTACTTTCAATAACGTTTTACAGTGAAACTGTTTGTATTACCACTTCTTCCGACTTTTGGAACAATTTTTTTATGTCCCACCTCCCTGGGACACTAGGGTTTAGTCCGGAATAGTTTTAAATATTACTTAAGGCTAAACCTATAGAGTTGCTGCATTATCACATGAATAAAATCCATTGGTGATTGGCGGGATTTTAACCCGAGATTTCGAGCTCTAGCATTTGACACTCTTGGAAAAAACTGGTGTCAAAATAAATTGCTGCAACCCTTTTGTGTCAGCATCAAGTTTAACATTCCAAGATTACTAGAGTTATTTGATGTTTTATCAACAATACTAGGCTACACAAGGTATCTAGAGATGCTGATGTGATAGAGCAGACAGTCAGCGATAGAGTCAGCATCAAGATATCACTGATGAGTCACCAGGTCATAGACCCTTGCGGATATAGCCTGGCTGTGGCCGGGATAGAACTGTGGACTAGATCTCAGGTAAACTATCTGCCTGCAGAGAGTTTAAACGGATAAAAGAAACGTTTTCTTAAAATTAATTAGATTTCCAAAATTAAAATCGTTGATGGGAGTAGTTGGTGTGATAATTTTCAATAATTTCCAAATGAATTCATTTTTCATTTAGTTTCCATTTCATTTTTTTATGTTATAACTCTAGGCACCGGAATAGTTTTTCAAATTACTTCAGGCTAAAACTAGGGGTTACGACATTATCACTTAAAATCCATTGGTGATTAGACGGGATTTGAACCCGGGACCTCATGGACCGAAGTTCCGCGCTCTAGCTCGTTCCCCTTTTTTTGTAAGGTAATATACAATTGATATTTAGATTGATGTTTAGAGATGCCTAGCCTAACCCAACCTAAAATAACAAAAACTTGAACAGGATTTGTAGATAATGACATTTAAATATAAAATCATTACAGTGAATCATCGGAAAAGTTCCAAAACATTTAAATGACCCGTAAAAATTAAGTAAACAAATAAGATGATGTGAATAGGAATTTTCCATTGATTGATGAAAACAGGATCCATAACCTTACATTTTTCTAAACGACAGTTTTGACGATATTGTTGTAGTAAAAGCTAAAATTGTTTTTAGAAGACGAGCTGATGAATAAATCACGGGGTTTCCACTTTAATTCGTCAAAAGAAGATAATTATCATTCAATTATCAAAATTTGGAAACTATAAATGTTGAAAACCTTCAAAATTTGGTTAGTTTCATCATTATCCTACAATCAGATGTTAGATAAAGAAGCACAGCTGATAACTTCGCTCTGTTAGAAAAGTCATATTTTAATTACATTACAGTGGTACAACTGATAACAGAAAACAAGATTAATATTTAATAATAAATGTATAAGTTGGCAAGAATGTCCCTATCTTCAAGGCGACAATATTGTATTTACACGAATACTACTAACGACCAGCTGATTGTGACGTAATTCGCAAATCAACAAATGGAACACGGTCATTAACCTGTTATAGTGACTCAGGCCAGATATAAACACTATTGTGTCGTCTGCTACACTAGAAACAGCTGTGAATCACGGTTCAATGGCGGTTTTCACAAAGGAAAGTTGAAGGAAGTCGTTTTCTATGGTGAAACATGACAAATGACTCACGGTGAGGATAGCGCAGGTGAATGCCTTCTGTTTTGCAAAGTCGTTAACATTAAATTGAATCTTTGTTTTTTATCATTACTTCAAGAGTATACCTGATGTTTTATATCATAAACCATGAAATACTGAGATTTGCATAGCACTTACAATATCAAAATTTCAATCAAAGTGGTTTATAATAATACGAGTAAAAAGTGTTAAAAACGCTCCGTTGAATAAATCACGATTTGTTGATGCAGTGCTATTGATGACTGTAACATTTAATAAATTACAATGATTTTGAGAAGGAAAAGTACCAAGGCAAGGAAGGGCAAGTACCGTAGTTTGTTTACTACTGTTGCATAAGGACTGGAGGGGTTTGAGTAAATGTTTCATCGTAAGCTGATAATCTAACCTGACCTATTATGCATTTATTACAATACGTAACAAACTCAAAATGTAATTGAGGCCAGCAAACTAAAATGAAAGATAGGTAGATGTTTATTTTAAAGGATATTCAAAATATGTATACAATTTAGCTGTAATCATTTCCCTTAAAATCCACGCAACCTGTAAACAGTTTTTAGTAACAAAGGTCAAACCATGACCCTATCAGGTCAGTCTCGAGTCCGCCACTGATGAAGACACATAGAGAACCCCACTTCAGTACATTTAGTAAGGAATTTAATCTCGCAAAAGGTATAAATTTTACTTTAACTTTTTCTCTTTTTGGGCTGTTTCCCATTCGCCAAAATTTTTTTATTATTTTTTAATAACATTTTAAGCGAATTATCCGAATTTTAACGCTATGCAAATTAGTCAACTTTAACTTTACATCAATATTGTGTTGTTATTGTGGTATTGTTTAACACCTGCACTCGAAACATACTTCAGAATAGTCCGAACATCTCCACGGTGAGTGATAGGTGATATTGTCAACTCACTTTGTCTATTGTCTGTTGATTGTGTGGCCTTCGTTATCTACTCTCACTCACACACATACACACACGCACACACTTACATACAATCCAGCTGTGAGTCATACATTGTTCAATCACCTGTGACATGATTCGAGTTTTCCTTTTGACTTAAAAGGTAACAGCTGCTAAGGTGCATCAATTCGTTTTTTTACATGTTTATGAAAAAAATGGTGCATTTTTAAATCGCAGTTTAAATTATGAAGGTTCGTTTATTGGGTCGTGCATTGATTGCGCCAAAGAGATTCTTAATTGCACCAAGCCAAGGTAGGGGTAAGTTACAGGTAGAATAAATGTCCTTGTATAAGTGTCATCCTAACCTAACCTATCCTAACTTAACCTATCCCAACCTAATCTATTCAACCATACAGTCTCCGCAAGTTGGTGCAGTTAAGGAGTGTATCGAGTGGCTCCCTGAAGTAGTTGGCGCAATTCAGGAATACCCGACATCCTGTCTCTGATCAGTTGGTGCAATTAACGGACCTGAATTAATCAAAAATGCAATGATAATACGGTACTAAATAACGCGGAATTCGTATTGCTTGAAAAGATAGTTCTCCATTTAAACTACTCACGTTCTTGAAGATCTCTCAACAAAATCCTTTAAATTCATGTTTTAAACTATGCCTACTTAGTTTATTAATAATACAACTTTTTATTTTAGTTTTTATTTAAATAGTGTTCCAAGGAAGCAAGGTTTAGACTTGTTACAATACGAGAAAATCTTTGTTAAAGAGTCATAAAACACAAAATTCTAAAAACTATGAGGAAAACAAACTTGCCGACCTCAAAAGCCAAAAGAGTGTTTTCAAGGGTTCATAAACACAGAGATAAGATTGACGTCATCAGAGATCAGAGATACACTTTGGCTAATTACTGAGATACAAGAGCTAATTGTATCTCTGATGAATCATCAGCTGATAGATTGCCAATGTCCGCGAGGCTCATACACACGTGCATCGTTTGTAAAATAAAATACTTTCACGTTGTGATACCAAACAATAATATAATTGATAAACTATAATGAAATGTAATACATAATATTATAGTTGATCGTCTTATGATGGTTTATAACAGGACGAATTCAACATTCTAAACTCGATTTATCCTTCTCGCGATTTTTTGTATTATTTTGCAAACGACTCTCTTCCTAGTCCGCGTTTTTATAGACGAACTTGATGTTTGTTTTAAACCACGTTACGAATTCTTCGTTAGAATGTCTTTACAAACTATCCTCTTCCTTCTCCGCGTTTATAACAATATACTCGATATTGTTAACGAAAATGTTTTAAGCACAAGCCATGTTTTTGCAAACTAGTCTCTTTATTTACTTCGTTCATAAAAGTTCTTTAAACGATTATGTGCTTGTTTATATTAGTAATGATCTCAGATACGTTACTAAGTAGTGATTCGAGGGTTTAACCACCCCTGAAATGATATAAGTAATCAGTCTGAAACGGGTTCGTTCCCCAACGAAGTTCTAAATATTTTGTTGGAATTACACACTTTGCCATTAACGTTTGCGATTCCTTTATGGAAAATACGTGGATACTAAAAGAAGATAAAGAATTGAAGGTACTGGCAGGAGTAATTTGATGAAACAATGTAAATAAATGTTAAAACAATACACATATAATTTAAGTATAGTCTGTATGATGGAACCTGTCTCCTGACTAGTCTATCTGGGACTGTCCCAAACCTTAAGCTTAAACCATTAGCCAGTTCCCAAGTAGACTGAGTCAGAAGACAGGTTCCACCATACACACTATAACACAAGCTTACTCACCCCTAAGCAGCGCCGGCCGTCTATTATCCTCCACAAGCGACGACAACACGAGATACAGCGGGTGTGACGTCGGCAGCGTCTCCACCTCCTCCGCCACATCATCGTACACCACCACCTCCTTGAACCTCCTCTTCAGCATCTCCTTGCCCTCCCGCGTGGTGGCCAGGTCCGCCAGAGTGGCCTTCCCCTGCTGCAGCCGCCTGCGGTTGAACCTGTCGGAGCAGTTGACGTTGATGCTGCCGCGGATGTGGTTCACGTTGTACGCCAGGAACGGTCTGCAGTCGACCAACAACAGGCTCCGGTGTTGCTCGAGTTGTTGCGCCAGAGTGTCCGGGTCCAGGGTGGACACGTGTTGTTCCACCAGGGCCCGCTGGAGGGTGGAGGATTCTCCGCACGGACTTGCCGGAAGACTGGCCACCTCCAGCTTGCAACGCTTGGTCGTCGGGCCTGGCTCGCTCAGCGAGCGGTTCAGCGCGAGTCGCAGACCTTCTCGACAGCAAAGCATTGCTCCCCTCCCCTCGCCACCTATAAATACACTGAGCGTCACAACAATACTCACACTTACGGGTTAATTAGTTACTACGTAACACAGTTCCTCAATAACAAGTGGCCTCGCATGTAACAAGTAGCGCTTCAATATTACCCTTAATTACATGTTAGTTCAAACCTCGATAAGAAGTCAATCTTAATACCAAATCTTATTTGATCTCCAAGAGAGACTTGATATCAATTTGCATGGGTCTACTAAGTAAGATTTTTTTTTCAGGACTGTCTGGTTTAGAGTTTCGTGACGTTTCAGTCCAGGGGGCCGAAACCCCATCGGACTTGGCTGTTCTAGAACCAGGTCCTCTTTAAACAGAATTTAAGCGTCACATTGGAGAGTAGTACCACAGACAATATAATACTGGTAGTACCTTTAGTTTTGTTGGAGTTGGATTTTGGTACGTGTTTGTTAACAATGCAACAACTGATCTACTTACTACCCCCAACAACACATCCCTCTTACACCTTCTGGATTATGGTTTAAAGGACAGGGCTATTCAGAACTTCACAAAATTATTAAAACTGACTTCTAATCTAAATCGTTATATTGATGGTTGGAAACGGAGTATGGCTATCAGAACGCAAATTCTGTCTATAACATTGTAATTTGTGACACAAAAAAAGTTTCCTAACCTTTTTCCCATAAATCTTAATTGTAAAATACCCAAGTAAACCTCTGTAGTCTGTTCAAATAAAGAAGATGGTCGGAGGACCTATCTGTGGCCAATGAACACAAACCTCCCCACCCGAAACGACTTCATTATTTGAACAAACTATTAATGAGTACTTCCTATGTGTTAATCCGCCTTGAGCGCAACCTTGTATGAGTGAATCACAACACAACCTTACACAAGCGTGTTCAATAACTATAGCTAATGTTTGAAAGTGAACTCCTCACTGTGTCAAGGAGTTGGGGAAGAATGAAGTCTCGCAACTCCACAAGCTTTGCTACGCTGTGCGTTGTCTGCGGAAAGCGTGACCGCGGGATTGGCCAAGAGAGAGGCGAGCGATGGCGCGTGACCGCGGATAACGGTGTGGGGACCGAGCTTTGCATTGGGAAGGGAAGGCCTCCTTAAGTGTGTTTATACCTCAAATCGTAGAGACGTATCTTCTACGTGAAGTCTTTACGGTTTGCATACAAATTTTAGATCGCGGATAACGGTGTGTGGACCGAGCTTTGCATTGGGAAGGGAAGACGAGATTTAGTGTGTTAAGAACTTCCCTCATATCCTATAGACGTGAGGTCTTAGCGGATTGCATACAAATTCTAGCTAGATCGCGTATAACGGTTTGGGGACCGAGCTTTGCATTGGGAAAGAACTTCAATCATACCCTAAAGACGTTTCTACGTGAAGTGATAGCGGATTGTATACAAATTCTAGCTAGATCACGTATAACCGTTTAGGTACCGAGCTTTGCATTGGGAAGGCGATGTTACAAATTGCAGTTCGCATATTCTCTCACATCCTATAGACGTTTCTTTTACGTAAAGTCTTTGCGGATTGCCTGTTTTTATGTTTAGTTGGTATAAGAATATCAAGAAGCAATCCTAGGTGATAACAGCACTATTAAGCTGAGCTCCAGTATAGCCTGAGACCACAAAGGCTGATAAAATATACCAATCTCAAGAAGCAATCCTAGGTGATAGAAGCTACAAGTAACCTCCAAGTAAGCTGGACTCCAGTATAGCCTGAGACGACATAGGGTGAACAAATTCCCCAATCTCAAGCGTTGATCCTAGGTCATCACAGCTCCAAGTAAGCTGATCCCCAGTTTAGCCTGATAGGACAAAAGCTGAGAATATTCCCCAATCTCAAGCAATCCCCGGTAATAGCAGCTCCAAGTAACCTCCAAGTAATCTGAACTGCAGTATAGCCTGAGACGACAAAAGCTGAGAAAATCCCTAATCTCAACCAATCTCAGGCGAAAGCTACTACAAGTAACCCCCAACTATGCTGAACTGCAGTATAGTCTGAGACGACAAAAGATTCCCCAATCTCAAAAAATCCCAGGTAATACTGCAGCAGCTGCAAGTAACCTCCAAGTAACGTTAACTTCAGTATAGCCTGATACGACAAAGGCCGAGTAGATTCCCCAATCTCAATCCCAGGTGATAGAGATAAGGAATACATCTTGTTTACTCGACAACACTCAAAAACTTCCTCTCCGTAGACTGCCTCTTGGTCTAGAATCTAGAACATGTTTAACTAAACGTAAGAAATTTTTGAGACATCAGATATTTTTCAACGTGTTACTTGAATAGTTGTTTATCCTGTTTGGCGTGTTGTTTAAAAATGGCAAAGACTACGTGGGTAAATAAATTTTTGTCCAATATTGAGACGGAATTAGTCCATAAAACGTAGGTATACATTACATTGCAAAAGAGTGAACACATACGAATGCAGATAGTTAATCAGTTCATTTAATTGTCATAAATGACACAGCAGGAGGGGGTCCATTTTGAATTAGTATTTGTATAGTTATTTCTGTTTCATTTTCTGTGCGAAATATGCGGATTAACACGTTGTTGTTAGTATATCATTGCAATAATTTTACAAAAATTTGACATCCGTTGATTCACTACCACTATGTTTGTTTTTTTTTATGTCGAAATTGTATAATTTCGTAAAAATTCTATTAAGGCTTAGGTTAGGTTAGAACCGTGGTAACCGTTCTTTAACCTTAGATTGTGTAGGCCTATTGTTGCATCAACTTGTGTGTAATTAAAGGAAAATATAAAAAAAGTGTAATTCCTTTATGATGGTCCCACTAATAGGAAAGCCGGTATAAGACCTACGGGTAGGAGATCCTTTATATTTAAATCAAAACAACAAAGTACCCAGCTATGTGCACAACTATATGTTGTACGGATCAAAAATAGTACACCAAACCAATCAACAATACTAGAGATAACTACAAGAAAAGCAATTTAAAGAAACGAACGCTAGGTCGCTGTGAGACCGCGCGTGCGTGTGTGTGAGTGTGTGTGTGAAGGTAACGTCATCGCTGGTTATAACATCTACGTAACACAACATCGCAGCTTCCTTGTTGACCACAGAGTAAGTAAACAGCCGCCAATTGCGGCACAGAGTACATAAAATATGACCAACGTGTGAAAATAAATCAGCTGACAAAGAAAATGGGGTTTAAATTAACCACTGTACTTCCCAGTAAAATAATTCGCTGACGATAACCATCGAATCAAATTCGCCAGAATTAACTTGTACTGTATTGAGGGTGTGCGTAGTAAATTTTAACGCTAATAATCAGGAAGAATTTTATATCTTAGGATTTTCTGTGATAGAAACTTCAAAATTGGTACTGTATAAATGTGTATTTTAGTGTAGGGGACAATAGTTTACAATTGGGAGTGGATTAATGTATCTGCAATACTAAACTGCTTATATAGAGTAAACTAATCATTTTCCCCGAGCTAAGCTCGGTCCCCAGGTACTTAATTTAATAGGACTATCACTGGCCTGCAAAATAACAATAAGCAATATGGAAATCCTATTAAATTGCGTAACCGAATGTAGAAAATAGCTGATAACTCGGTTGTTTGTCATCCGATTTTAACAAACAAGGTCTCGTTTGATTTGGATTTAAATTTTCTATCTTTTTTATCTGTATAACAATTTCCTTAATATTTACGGTTTTCATTACATTTGGCATTTAAGATTATAAATAGCCGCTATATTGAAACGAAACTTTGTAAGCTCTTTTTACCTACTAAAGTACACATTTATACGAATTTTGAAGTTTCTATCTTGGAAAATGTCCAAGATATAAAATAATTCTTAAAAATCTCAAACAGACCGACAAACAGAAATCTAGGCATCTTAGACCCATACTTATACGGCATTTTATGTTTGCCTTAGCCCAAGGAACAAGTCCACAAAATATGTCCAGGCAATTTGGAAACATCCTGTATGTTATATCACTGCACTGGATGATAGATTATTATACGTTATAACTCAACCACCACACATTAATACTCACAAAAACCATTAACTTTTAATTAATCTTTTACTTTAAGAATTTTTCAACTTGGGGAAAATATTAAAATTATAGGCTATACAACCTCAGCGATACGGGGATACCCCTGATGTTTTTTAAATGGTGTTCAGGGGCACTACCATACAAATTGTTTCGTGCTTTCTCTTTTCTCGAAATTTTAAGTTCTGGAGTCCCCTAAAATAACTTCTGTTTTTGTGGTAGGTTATCGAACCAAATAAAGGAATAATTCGTTGAAATCCCCTACTCCTCTTCCTATTATCCAATTGTAATTCTTCAAGCCTTTCCTAAAAAAAAGAATTCCAACCCCATTATTTCCCAACGCATTGTCCAGTTTAAATCCAATTCCCAAAACCTCACCCCAACAACCCCTACTCCGAGGTCGCTCCCGAGCTAAGGAATGCAGGAGTCGGACCAGCTGTTACACCCCCCCCCCCCCCCCCGCGGTCCTAGAGTCCTTCACAAGGCCAACTGGGATCTGCCCCGCCTTTTTTTGCGGCTCTGCAGCTTTTAAACGGCACGAAGAAGAAAGACTTGGGTTTGATGACCGACGACGCATTGTACGATTGGAAGGGTGTCGTGATGTACAGGTAGACGATGTCGCTTCGTAGAGGAGTTCCTACAATCACATACATTCGAGGGTATAAAATCGTGAGAACCTTAAGGTAGAATTGATTATCTTATACAGTTGATCATGAACATATATTACATTCATTTTATCATACACACTACTTGTGTATCGCGGCGTCATTAATTTACCATCCTATTGCGTGGTAAAAATATACGTGTTGACTACAAAATTAATATTTTTTGTTTCAGAATACTCGAATATGAATTTATAACTTATAAATTTGTGGCAATCGATATTCTATATTCTTTGACAACTAAACAGTTAATTATAAATGCATTGCATTCTTTAAATACTCAATACTCACATAAAACATTAATTTCTGTCAAAACAACACTTA